AACAATTTGCAAAGCCCCATGCCATTTTATATTTAAAATGTGTTTAAATGTAAAATGGAGGTTGATTCAGGCTCAGATAATTTTGATTAAGTACATCAACTGATAGGATACATGAAAATTGTGTGGTGTGTAGACAGTTCTTTGTTGTGATGGATTGTGCAGCACCCTGAAAGCTTTCAGCATCCTTTCTCCATTTCCACCAGATTGCATTCCATGTGTATCCCCATCACTGTGACAACTATACATTTTCATAATGTCGCCAGAGAAAACATCACCTCCACTGAGACCTTGTCTTTGAAATTCTGAGTGTTGGATATTAAATAACTTTTCTCAACTAAGAGATGTTTTAATTTACTATATTATTTAACTAATTATTAAATTAGTTAAATCACCTATCCACCCCTAATACTTCTGACTCGCTCTTTCTCCCAGGAACCAAAACCGCTAAGACTGCTGTGTCAGGGTTCTCCAGAGAAACAGAACCAACAGGAGATGATAGATAGACAGACAAACAGATAGATAGATAAATAGATAATCTGATATGAGGAGATTTCTTATAGGAATTGATTGATGGTTCTGAAGGCCAGGAAGTCCAAAGATCTGCCACCTGCAAGGTGAAGAACTAGGGAAGCCTGTAGTATAATTCCATCTAAGTCCAAAGAACTAAGAATGTGATGAGAGTGGGGGTAATGGTGTCTGTCTGAGTCCTGTGAAAATAAACACAACTTCATATAATTTAATATCTTCAGATATTGACTCTGTGTTTTTTATATGAAAGATATAATAAGGCAAATGAAGAACCTGGAAAGAGTTGATCTAGGCTATGTACCCTGAAAACTATTTCTTACTTTGGACAGAAGAGAAGTGTCAAGGTTGGGGAAACTCTATTTATTAATCATCTATCCATATGCATTTGAAGTGGCAACTCACATTCTTTCATTTATCTTATCAGAGTCATCCCAGGCATTAGCATTCTCAATTAGAGAGGGAAAAGCTAAGGCACAAAGAGATTTAGTGCAATATACAAAGTCAGGCAATTAGTAAGACAGAGCCAGGGCTGAATGCCAAGACAACCCTTATTCTTCCTGCCTCCCTGAACCTACTTTAATCATTCCTCCAATCCAATTCAGGTAACATAACTTATATGTACCTGGATAATCAGTTGCCATTATCCAGGTAATATAATTTATATGTACCCAAAATCCTTATAGGAGGCAAGACCAGAGGTAGAACTAACCGGCTGTTTATGTGGATTCTTTCCATGCTTCCTAAGGAGTCAGAAGACCAACTATCAGGGGAGATAGAAAAAGGATACTTAATAGTGGTTAGGAATATAGGACTGAAAATTCACTCTCTACTGGGCACAGATGTCCTGAGGGTAAAGGAGAGAAATGTGAAAGGAATGTTTGATTTCCTTAGTTTGAGAGAGGGAAAACAAATAGATTAAAATGAGGTGACATGAGGGATGCAGTCCCCAGAGACTTAAGAACAAGAAATACAGCCTATTTAAAATAAATTAGGATGCCTGCTCCACAGTCTGCTCTGGCGACTCTGCAATTGTAAATAACTTCAAGTAATATTAAAGCCGTTCTGCAAAAATATATTCTATATTTTGAAAGGTATTTTACTATAATATAACAAATTGGAATACTTATCTTTAAGGAAAAGTAAGAGAAAGACAGGCTCAAACTCTGCTGAATGCTGAGTGACTTATGAAGGAGTAAAGGGTTTCTGTTTTTCTATCTCTGTAATGGATGGTGTCTAAAGTCTATCCCCACTGCACCTACCTGAAGCTGGAGGGAGTTTCATCTCTAAGGAGAAGGCTTTCTTTTTTTCCCATGCTTTTCTCTCTCTTTCTCTCTCTTTTTTTTTTTTTTTTTTTGGTGAATTTAGACATTGACTAGGAGCAAACAAAGTGATCAAATAGAAGTCCAGTGGTTAAAAAAGGTAAGGAAAAGATATAAAATGTTTCATTCACATAACTCACTGAATTGAAGAAAAATACACTATCCTGTTAACTTCTGCAATTGCTATGGGTCTGCAGTTCATGTGCTCAATGTTTTGAAAGGGCAAAACTCAAAATGCTAGAGTTTGGAGTAAGGAAAGTTTTACCAATTGAGAAGGTGCCAATGAGGAGATGGGAGACCTAGTGGTGTTTCATCTTAAGAATGTACAGAGTTCATTGTATTGTGGGTTTATGGTAGTATATCACAGAATTGTACACTTGAAACCTATATAATTTTATTAAACAATGTCACCCGAATAAGTTCAATTTTAAAAAAAGAAAAATAAGAAAGTCCAGAATTCAGGCTTCTTTTATGTAAAGGGAAAGGGGAAACAGGAGAGAGGTGAGTGGCGGCTGCAGATACTTGGGCACCTGCAGGGATCTGAGGAAGATTGTGATGAGTCTGCTGACTGACTGATGTGATTCCTGTCATTAGATTTCTGCAAATCTTTGCCAAACAGTAATTATTTTTGTACATACTTCCATTATTTCCTCAGGAGAGACACCTTGTGGTAAGGGGCTGTTTTTGTAAAACTTAAGCTACAGATTTCCTCTAATGATTAGCATGTCTGCATGCAAGACTAAGCAGAAGCTATTAGCTTGAAGGCCAAGGGAACAAAAATGGAGTGAAAGAGTCTGAGTATTTCACTCTGTTACATAACCACCCATAGACCCAAAAGTTCCCAGAGCACTGAGGGGCTAAGAAAGTATTGTTATTACAAGATTTGTAAGTTGTTAAGAGAAATATAAGCAGCAGTAAATAATATGATTTTAAGGCCTTTATAAACACTAGCAATTCTCAGGAAATCCCACTATTGTTTTCATAAACTCTTAGAAATTGAAATCCGAGATCAAGAATCTCTGGACTGGAGGGTGGACTGCAAAATCTCAGCAGGGGGAGCAGGAATATTGCAGGGAAGCAGGAAGTGTATTTGCCAGAGTAGGGGAAGGCCAGCACATGTAATTCATAGCTGTAAAACAATGCTAATTAATAGATGTAAATTAAAAAAAAAATTTTCAGCAACTGTAATACTATTTTTATTCATGAAATATATGGATTTTAAAAATGTAACTAAATGTATTCTAAAATATTAACAAAACTCTGATAATTACAATATTAACTGCTATGTGTATTAGTGTATTTGTTGGGTATAAACTAGTCACCATTAGGTTAACTCTGTGACATTGTGCAAGAGTCACTAATCTTTTGTATTTCTCATTTTCAAGGTATAAAAAGAGAATTATAATACTGCTTGTCTCATAGGATTTACATAAAATAATGTAGTAGGAAAAATACACAACACAGTGCTTGAAGGGCATAGGAAATGATTCACACAAACCATATTTTAGTACTTGTCATTTTTGCTCATCATTTCTAGCACACACACAAAACATGTGTGACATTTTATTTTTTTTCACTATTTTTGTTAGAGTAATACTCAGGGAAATTTTCCGGTTGAGGACAAGAGTTTTGAAAAGATTTATTCTTTTTTTTTAGTTTTTTCTGGAGATGCTGTTCTTTGAAGTTCATACAACAAGAGTATTCCAAGGAAGAGGATCTAGGCTATACATCTGTCCAGTGAAATAGAAAAAGAAACAACATAGTGTTGAGGAAAAACAAATAATTTGGTTTCAAGGGACCTATGTTCTAGTCCAGGGTTCACCAGTGAGTAGCTAAGTCCTATACTCCACTGACCTCATCTAACAAAGATGATCTTATTACAACTCTTGTCATACCTGCTTATCTCCCTCACAGATTTTTGGTGAAGTTCGGATAATGGGTACAATTACCCTTTAAAAGGATATAAATTATTGGTTGGTGTATTGAGCTCCTATCCCAGTGGAAACTAAGGGGAGAAGAGCATGGACAGCACTTCTTTCTGTATATGGCAGTGTCTGTGAGAAGGGAACCCAACTGTGCTCACTAGATCCTGTATCTCTAATGGGAGCACCAGTAATGGGTTGCTTTGATCCCATGTTTTAATGTTGAGCAGTATCAGATAACTTATTGCTGTGAGTGAGAAAAGATTGAACACATTGAGCTATGATTTGTCAGCTAGACTAGTGCAGCTTTATCTACCATTCGATGATTTGAGGTCAAGGAAGGAGGAGGGGGTTGAGGGGAAGTGGAAAAATACTGGAGCTCTGGAGCTGGAGCTGTTACCTAAACATTTACTCAGAAGACCTAGACTGGGTATCTATTTTGAGTTTCCTGTTCTTTTTTTCTCCTCTATGAATTTGGCTTCATTTTGCCTTCCATGAAGTGAATATTATTTCCATTTAGACAACCTGCTGTTAAATTATTCCCCTGGTTCAGTATGGTGGCTGGAATGTTCCTCTTACCACTCATTTTCTGTTGTGAGCCTGTGAATCTGAACATTAGGTAGAAGTTTTCACTGCAGTGGTTTGTTCTATTACTTTCATCTGAGATGTCTACTCATTTTTACACTCTGAGTTTTTAAACATTGGAGTGATTATTTAAAATTCTCAATATTTACCTGACACATTTTTTCCCCCTGTTGTTGCTGTACTAGGAAATTAGGGTAGAGTTAAAACCATGCTACCTATGGGAATAGCCTATGCGTCTTTCCTTGGTCACCACTTTTTAAGGTTCCCCACATGCCCAGAAGATTTAATTATTTTCTCTTGTGTGGCACTGTTACTAGTTTTAACTAACTTCCAGTGTTTTTTAATTATTTTCATTAGTACTGTGGAGGAATAGTTGGCAGGAACTAGGTATTAATTTTGCCATCTTTCTCCAGAAGTTGTGTCTAGAAAGTATGTTAATGTATAAGTTATTTATCATAAATGATGAAGAAAGATACATTTTAAAGATGTTCCTGTAATTATTCAGTAAATGGCTAATGCCAGGAGTGATCTTAGTGAACAGATATTAAGTTATGCTTCTTGGTCATTAGTAGACTGTGTGCCTAGAATTCAGATACAGTATTTTGATGTCTTTTGACTTGACATCAAGTCCAACATACTGTTTACTATGTTTTTCATTTTGCACTCTTCTGTTAGAATTTGTGAGTGTATGTTAACAAAAAAGTATTTATAGCTCTGTCATGTATTCATCTGACCAACTGTCATGTTCCGTCTTCTCCCGACTGCAGCTCAAATGGTCAGATATATGAAAGAGGTTCAAAGCAGGAATCAAACTGAAGTGACAGAATTTATCCTCTTAGGACTCTCAGACAATTCAGATCTACAACTTGTCCTCTTTGGATTGTTTCTTTTCATCTATATGGCAACTGTTGTGGGTAACTTGGGGATGATCATGTTAATTAAGATTGATCCTCATCTCCACACTCCCATGTACTTTTTCCTCGGCAGCCTCTCCTTTGTTGATGCCTCCTACTCTTCTTCTGTTACTCCTAAGATGCTGGTGAACCTTGTGGCTGAGAATAAGGCCATTTCTTTTAATGGATGTGCTGCCCAATTCTACTTCTTTGGCTCTTTCCTGGGGACTGAATGCTTCCTGTTGGCCATGATGGCATATGACCGCTATGCAGCCATTTGGAACCCTCTGTTATACCCAGTTCTCATGTCTGGGAGAATTTGCTTCTTGCTAGTAGCTACCTCATTCCTAGCAGGCTTTGGGAATGCAGCCATACACACAGGAATGACTTTCAGATTGTCCTTTTGTGGCTCTAATAAGATCAATCATTTCTACTGTGACACTCCACCCCTGCTCAAACTCTCTTGCTCTGACACCCATATCAATGGCATCGTGATCATGGCCTTCTCCAGTTTTAATGTCATCAGCTGTGTTTTGATTGTCCTCATTTCCTACCTGTGTATCCTTATTGCCATCTTGAGAATGCCTTCATTAGAGGGCAGGCATAAAGCCTTTTCTACTTGTGCCTCCCACCTCATGGCTGTCACCATATTCTTTGGGACCATTCTCTTCATGTACTTGCGCCCGACGTCTAGCTATTCAATGGAACAGGACAAGGTTGTTTCTGTATTTTATGCTGTAGTGATCCCTATGCTAAATCCCCTCATCTACAGTTTGAAAAATAAGGATGTGAAAGGGGCCCTAAAGAAGATCTTAGAGAAATGCATACTGTAAAGCCATATGACACATCATCTTGTTATGTAGAAGAAAATGTTTCCACATTGATTATCTGATTACTTAAGCTCTCTCTTTTGTGTTAAAATAGATGGCTTAAAATAAAGTATACTTAATTTGGTGTCTTACATGTGTATCCATGGCCCTATATGATGAAGCAACACAGTGGGGGAGGGCAGTGTCTGGTAAATTATCAAAGCATTTGGAGTTGTCTGACTTAAGTTTAAAGTCCAGTTTTAATATTTAGCTTTTCTTAATATTAGTTTTGTTATGTATAAATATTGTTAAAATTGTGAACCCCCCCCTGGTATTTGTACTTCCACAATGACCTGTTTTGGATATGGGCCACCCTCTGGGAGTGGGGATGATCTTGGGCATGCCAATTCCTTCAACAGGGACCATTTCAAGAGCAGAACTCAGCTGCGAAGTTAAACTTGGAAGGTGGAGAAATAAATATTTCAGCTCTGAGAAGCAAATCTGGCTAGTGTACCTTAGCATTCACTATAAGTAATAACACTATTCCACTCACAAGGATGTCAAGAGTACCAAATAAGATACAAAAAGTGTCTATCGAGTTTATAATAATGTGGCTACAACAGCAACAATGGGGGAATATTTTACTAACTTCGTGAATTAATTGTAATATTTTGAGGGTAGTACTTGATATTTTTAAACTTTTTATCTCTGTTCCTTCCAAATATTTACACAGTTTTCAATAAACATTTATCAAATTAAATTACCTATCTTATTGTTCACTGTAGTGGGGTGGGGAACTGTTGATGTTGGGACAATGAGGAAACAGGTGTTTTCCATGAGATGACATGTTGAAGAAGGCCTAAGTGATGAATTGGAATCAGATAAATGTTGATTTCTTATTTCCATTTCACTATCCACTGCAGACCAGGAGGGAGAACATCAGTGTTCCACATACTCCAAGTGAGAACCCCTCACCCCTGAAAAATTTGTTAGAGGCCACAAACCATTACCTCATCCTATTCACTCTCAGTAGTCCTCCCATTCCTCTATACCTCCCCCTTCAACTATTTTTTTTATAGTATAGTTATTGTTGATACTATTACAGACACCCTCCATTTCCCCACCCTTTGCCCCACTCTACCCAGCCCCTGCTCCTGCCTCCCTGGCCTTGACCAAATTGTTGTCTGTGTCCATGGGTTATGAATACATGGATACATGTTCTTTGGTTAATCTTTTCCAGTTCTCCCACTCCCTTCTTCTGAGATCTGTCCATCTTTTCCATGTATCCATGCTCTGATTATATTTTGTTCAGCAGTTTATTTTGTTCATTAGATTCCACATATGAGTGAGATCATATGGTATTTGTCTTTCTCTGATTGGCTTATTTTGCTTAGCATAATAATCTCCAGGTCCATCCATGTTGTTGCAAAAGGTAAGAATTCCATCTTTTTTTTTTAATTTAATAATTTTTAATTAATTTTTTTGTTCAAATATATTTGTCTCCGCCTTCCCCCCCACTTTCCCTCCCCCTCCCCCATCTTTCTTTTTCATAGCAGCATAGTATTCCATTGTATAAATGTGCCACAGCTTTATCATCCACTCATCTACTGATGGGCACTTGGGTTGTTTCTAGATCTTGGCTATTGTAATTATGCTTTCTCTCGAAGACATTCAAACTGTATTACAGCTGGCATTCTACTTCATGTTTCTTTTTGTTCTAACTCATCTACTTTAATATCCACCCTTTAACTGTTTCTTATTCACCAATACAGAAGTGATATTTGGCCATTATTTATCACTACTCTCATGTCCACATTTTATTATTGCTCAGTGGAGATGCCATGGCAATGACTCACTCTCAGTCATCCTCAATTCTATGACTCCACTTTCTCTCCTTGCTACTCATCTGACTAAATTCTAATGATTAAATTTAAATGTTTTTTCCTCTGTCCTACACTTAGGCTGCTTAGGGCAGTTGGAGAAAAGCACTTGACACTTAACTCTCTGTTGCTGACCTTACCTCATACTTTATCCTCCAAACATTGGATAAGATCATACCCATCTTACTACCTCTAAGTCTTTATACATGTATTTTTCTTTCTATCTATCATAATAAATAATGTGTTCCTGCTTTTGACCAAGATTAATTCTTTCACATCTTTGGAGATTTCCATAAATTTTACTTCAGAAATTACATTTCTACTCTTCCCAAGAACCAGTTTTTCAAACTCTACCGAACTATTCTTATTTGTCTACAAACATCATCTAGTGTCACCTTTCTTAATCATTTCCTTGGCTGAAAGTCCCATCCAGTCACCAACTTATTTCTCTCATCCCTTTATAATTATACCCTGGTCATTATTCCTACTTTCTCATATCCCATGACATGTTCCGATTGTATGCTTGTACCTGTTTCATTGAACCTAATCTTGTCAAGAACATATAAGACTTTAACACTATTACATCTAAAGATTGTTATTCTGTCTTATTTTTACTGGCTATCACAGGAGGACTTTTCATAGTTCAGTCCTTTAGGTATCCCCCAAACACTCCATTCTAGCTTTCTATGTTACCTCAATCTTTAGATTTTGTCTCTCACCATGGCTATTTTTGCACAGATAACTGATGGCTCTTCCTCCTCTTCATGCTGGAGCCGAAGACTTAATCCTTTCCATTGCTCCGTTGGTGCATTGGCCTTCCATCTGTATCTACTTCCTTCATGATTTAAGAAGTCTGCCATGATTCCAAAATCTATATCTGCAGCCCTGACTTCTAACCTGAATTCCAGATTTGTATACCAAATTGACAATCTGGCATCTAGGGACTTTGGACACATTAAAGTATTAAGAAATTAGCTTTCCTTTTTTAGTTATCATACATAGACATCTATAAAATAATCACACCTCTTGTACTATGAGGAGGAACTTCATCTTAGCATCATATTTATGTATTCTTATGCTTGGAATATGAAAACTGACACATTTTATATCTTTACTTACTTATAATACATTAGAAACTATTTGTACATATACATAACACCACACATATTTAATGTATACAATTTGATAAATTTTAACACATGCACACATCAATAAATATGTTTTAAAATATATTATTGAAAAAACTAGAATGTAACATGTAATGGAGATATAGGAGGCAGGAAAACACAAATTTCCTGATCTCATGAAACATATATTTAAGTGAGGGAGGCTTTATTGTTTATACCAAATGTGTGTGTGTGCATGTATGCATAGGTGTGCATATGTGTTTGACATGGATATGAGTGATACTTTGAAGACAAGTAAAGCAGGCAACAGAATAAGGAATGGTGGAGTCAGAGAAGAGCTCCCTGTGGAATAACATTTCATCAGTATTTAAATATGGATAATATCATGTGAATATGAAAAAGCATTCTAAGTATGCTACAGTAAATACATAGACCCTGAGGCAAGATTCTGCTTTGTTTGCTAAAGGAACAGTGAAGAGACAAATATGTGGACTAAAATGAGCAAATGATAGGAGAAGAAGAACTGAAATCAGACAAGTGTTTTGAAGAAGCAGCAGGTCGTATAAGCCTTATAGGTCATAAATGGGCTTTGGACTTCATTCTTTCATATGACCCTGTAATAGCTGTTCTTGACCAATTCCAGATGCATGAGGAAGTCCCAAGAATGACTTTATTGGCTACTCTACTAGTTCCAAGGATATTGTATTCTCCATAAAACAAATTCACTGCATTTATTGAATGAATCCATTAATGAATGCAATTAGAGCCATACTCTAGTAGAGAAGAATAGGGATCATATTTTGAGCAGAGTTGTAAAGTTTGGAAGGAAGATCTGGTCATCCCGTGCAATTTAATTCATTGTTGTGCTCAGTGGAATCTAAGGATCATGAAACAGTGTTTGTACTTCTCTAAATGTCTAAGTTACCTCCCAGGGTATACTTGATTCACTGGGGAGAATGTAGTTCAATTATCTCAGTGAAAAATAAATGCATGTTTTAATTTTGGATCAGCACATTTCTAGCTTTATACTTCTGCAGAGAGCAAATCTCATGAGAATGATCACAGCTTTAATAAGGCTGACCTTCTGCCTTGGATTCAGTAGCAACATTTTTTACTCTTTGTTTAATTCATGACTTAATTCTGTTACAGCTAAGTCCTTTATGTTACTTCCATTTTCATCAAAGCTACAAACTTCACCTTAAGAGCCAGAAAACTTATATTCTCCCAAAAAACAAATAACTAAAACAGAAGTAAACTAATAGCCACCATTACTTCCAATGAATATTTCTTAAGGACACAAAAGGTAAGATGATTTAATTTTTAATTTATCTCAGTGTTTAGATATAGAAAGTTTCCAAGAGGACTCAGAAAAGATTCAAGAAGTTAAGACTAAACATTTCAATTGTAATATGTCTGAAACACTGAATTTATGGTTACCAACTACACTAACCATTTTTCAGAAGAGAGAAATTTAGAATCATAAGTAACAGAGAGAACTTTATAGAATATTTAATATATGCATACACATACACACATTAATGTATGTATACATGTATATCTATGTGTGTATGTAAGTGTATTTATGTGTGTGCAAAACAGGGAAATTTAAGAATTTTATGTAGAAAGAGTGCTAAAATGCCTGACACATTTAATGCTTTTAAGGGCATTAAATAAAATAATTTTTTGCTTTTATATGTAAAAATAGAGAAAAAGCTTATAACTTTCAGACTTCATCATATGTATTTATACATGTGTGTATGTATGCACATTCATAACATGTATATCATAGAGAATATAATTCTATTTATGTCAATTTATATATTTTTATATATGTAATGTGTGCTTGTATATACATGCATAAAGCAGAGCTCTATGAAATGGCTGCAAAATTTTAAGTAATTAGTTTACTATAAGAAAGAATTTAGCTAATTTTAGAGACAGAAATATTAGTTAAAAGACTTGCAATAATCTAAGTGAAAGAAGATGTGGGCTTGGGCCATGGTGATAGGAAATCAGGCGGTGGAAGGTAATTGGCTCATTGATATAGATGCTTTGAAAATAGAGCCAGCATAATTACCTGATAGAATGGTTATGGATTGTGTGAGAAAGAGAAGAAATTAATTTTTACAATATTTACTTGTCTTCATTTGAGCAAATGGAAGTATAGAGTTGTCATTGACTTAAGTTTTTGGAACAAATGAAGGTAGAACAAAAAGACTTCAGTTTTGGGTCATTTTGAGTTGTTATTCAGTATTAATGCAGATATGTGAGTAAGAAGTTGATTATAAGTCTGGAGTTTGGAAAAGAGGTCAGGGCTGCAGATTTAAATTCAGGTGTTGTAAGTTTATACAAAACACTTAAAACCATGAGACTGAATAAGGCCATTAAAGTCAAGTATAAATAGAAAGGGAAAGAGAATCAGGACTGAGCTTTGAACTACTCCAGTCTTAAGAGTCATGGAGGAGAGGTGGAATAAACAAAGAAAACTGAAAAGAAACAGCACATATGATAGGAAGAAAACTCAACGCCTGGTGTCCTAGAATATAAGAGAAGAAACTCTTTCAAGTAGTAAGCAATGAACTCTGTCAAATGTTATTGATAGATTAAAAAAGGTGAGGACTGAGAATTGACCACTGGGTTTGGCAACATAAAGATTCCTGATGACTTAGACAAGAGCTGTTTCATAGAGTAATGTGGTTAAAGACTAACTTGGGTGGGCTTAACAGAAAACAGGAAACAGAGTTGGATACAGCAAGTATATTCAACTGTATCATATTTTTAATTGCCAATGAAAGCACAAAGAAATTGGATGATAGCAGGTGAAGACAGAAAGATCAAGGGAGGAGGAGAGAAAATCCTCCTACCCTACGGGAGGTAGGGTAGGATATGGACAAACTGGGGTCAATCATCGAAGACTTCACATACACACACATGCATGCCCACATTACATTTTAAACAAGACAGGTTACTGAGTTTACTTAAACAAAAATTTTTTTTACTGCAATAAGAAAATAAAGAGGTTTAAAACATATGTTCCCAAGTCACCTTAGAAGCAATGTTACTTATAGCCAAGAATTAACTACCAGTTCCCCTGGTATTTTTTTTTTGTACAATTTATTTCCTTGATTTCTTTCTTATCACAGCAGATAAATAATCCGTTCTGCAACAGAAGTATGAGCAACCATTCAAAAGTGACTGAGTTTATTCTCCTGGGATTCAGCGATCATCCAGAGCTACAATCTCTTCTTTTCATGGTGTTTCTGGTTGTCTACATCATCACTGTATTGGGAAATCTTGGCATGATCCTATTAATCAAGATCGACTCACGTCTCCACACTCCCATGTACTTTTTTCTTAGTAACTTGTCCCTTGTTGACTTCTGTTATTCTTCTATTATTGCCCCTAATATGTTGGTGAATTTCTGGGTGGACAATCCAACCATTTCATTTAATGAATGTGCCATTCAGTTCTTCTTTTTTGGTTCCTTTGCTGGTATTGAAGGCTTCCTGTTGGCTGTGATGGCCTATGACCGGTATGTGGCTATTTGCAAGCCTCTTCTCTACACAGTTACTATGTCCCCGCGTCTTAATGTCCTTCTGGTGTTGGCCACATATCTTGCAGGCTTTATAAATGCTTCCATTCACACTGGCTTCACCTTTCAACTGTCTTTCTGCCATTCAAATGTCATCAATCACTTTTTCTGTGACACTCCGCCCCTCTTGAAACTCTCTTGTTCTGACACGCGTGTCAATGAGCTTGTCATTTTTGCTTTTGCCAGTTTTAATGAACTGAGCTGCCTTCTGACTATTCTCATTTCTTACCTCTACATCCTTGTTGCCATCTTGAAGATCCATTCTGCTGAAGGGAGGCACAAAGCCTTCTCCACCTGCGCATCCCACTTGATGGTGGTTATCATCTTCTTTGGCACAATCCTCTTCATGTATCTGCGCCCCAGCTCCAGCTACTCAATGGATCAAGACAAAGTGGTGTCTGTGTTTTATACAGTGGTAATCCCCATGTTAAATCCTCTCATCTATAGTCTGAGAAACAAGGAGGTCAAAGCTTCTTTATCTAAAATTTTTAAAACAACCTCTTTTCACTTCTGTACTTAGAATCACAAAGCATGGAATTTTGGCACACTGAGAGAACCTAAAAATAACCAAGTGCACCTTCATTCACCCCAGCTCCATTTCATTCTATACTGAAGTTTAGTAGATTTGGACCAAATGACCCAGGCACCATGGGGAACATGATTATTCTCTATAAATTCCACTTATTTCACAGAACCTAGGTGTTTGAAAATAACCCAATATCTCTACACAGAGGTACAAAGCCCAGTATAAAAGTAGGTGGGACAGAGAAAGACTGAGTGGTGGGAGGAATGGCTCCATCTTAGTCCTTGTTTGATGGCTCTATGATTAGACCATGGTGTTTATACCTGCAAGAGAATAGGTGATAAGGAATAAGCTGAGCCAGACTATGATCAGAGGGCTAAAACTAGGCTTAGAGACTGCCTCTTGTCCTTAATGAACCAGAAAAAAATATCAGAACTTAATCCTCACAGAGGTGCCAAGGTCAAGTGATTTTAACCTGGGCAAGCAATCTAGACTGCTGAGGGAATAATGAGAACAAACTACCGCATAAAATATATGGGGGAATCACAGAATAAGAACTAAAGGTTCATGGCACAGAAGTTTTGGGACTTAGTGAAGAGATTTTCTTTACAATTTCTGGAAAAAAAGTTTCATGTTGTTTGATCTTTGAATGAGTAAGCTATTTAAGCTGAAAGAGCTAGGACAAGTTGAATGTTCTTTCTGTAATGCCTTAGCAAATAACCACACATATCTATTTTATCATTAGCTTCGATTTAACTGGGATAAGTTTAAAACTTTCAGTTGGTTTAACTGGTATTTTCATAACAGGACTATCTCCTAAGTAGGACTGATTTTTTTTTTTTTATAGAAAGTGACCGCTCACACGTCAACAGAAAATGTTTTAAACTGGGTGGCATCAGGTATTAATATACTAGGTATGATCCTAGCATATCCCTTTGCCATTGAGAGACTAATATATCCTAGTACAAAGGCAGCCACTTAAAAGAGACAAAGTAATAATTTAATCATTTAAGCCTCCCTTATTTTACTTTTCAGACATTGCATATTAAAAATGTATATTTTTGTTTATCAAATGGTTCTTGTCCATCTCATTACTTTTTTTCAGGAGGCCTCTTCATATTTTAAGACAGCTCACATAGTATCTCCTCTATGATTTTCCTGACTCTGTTGTCTCATCCAAAGCAAATTCATGTCCATTCCTGTGATTTTAGAGATACTGCAACTTTAATCAAGTTCCTATTCACATATATAAGTAATAAAATAAAGTTTAATATTCCCTGACAAGATTGAGAGCTCCTTGAGAAATCTCTTTATCTCTACCTTCATATCTCCATGGCTCCAAAATAAACCATCAGTAAAAGTTATAAAATTAAGAATCATTCCAATTGAAGGTGATGATGATGGAAGACAAACTGTTGCTTCTGGCATCTCAAATGTAAAGTATCCAGAACACAATTTCAAAAAGACAGTGTTAGAAAAGTTCTTTGATACCCGGTTGGATCATCTGTTAAATAATGTTTTATTCTTTTTAAAACAAGCTGTTTTATCTTTTTGGAAATAAACGTTTTAATAAACAGATGACATCTCAGTGTCTGATATATATCATTTTAAATAGATGTGATTTCACCCTATAATAAGAGAGTATTCAGATCTTTTTCCATGAAAGAACACAAAGTTAACTCAAACTAACATGGGCCTGCCCCAAGCTCTCTCTGTTGCTCTCTCTCTGTCTTTCTTTCTCCTTCCCTCTCCCCCTTTCTCCTTCCCTCTCTCCCTTCCTCCCTCTCTCATTTGACTGTCTCATACATGGGCTCACTTATTCTCTTTCACAGACTTTTGTCATTATGGCCTCAAGTTTATACACTTTTAGGGTGATTGCATTGCAGTCAAGGGTGCATCTCGTTAGAAAGTACAGCTGTTGCCTGAAATTGCTCAGATGTTTATCAGTTGTCAACTAAGAACATCCAAACCCGTACAGAATTTTTATGAGTTTATTTTAGCCATACTGATAATATTTCCAGGAAGCAGGATCTCAAATACTCTGAAGAATGACAGTTTTGCAATTTATTTATACATTTGGAATTAAGGCGAGAACATAAAGAAGATTACATGAAAGTGGAAGAAAGCCAGGTACAGAATGAATTAGATTATGTGCTCCCTGGAGGGTGGTTACATTTCCCAGGGGTCTGAGAAAGAGGACTACTTTGGCATTTCAAAGGTGTGTTAACCTAGCTGTGCAGAGCAATGGACAGGCTTTGTTTAAGGCAAATATAAATCTTTTACTAAAGAAGTTATATATACCTGAGCTGTGACAAATCACCAGACCTGCTCTGCTAGGAATTCATAATCAGATCATCCTGTGATGTCTCTTACTGTCCCTGAACCAGTCAGTTGTATTACAGAACCTCTTTTTCATCCACAGTGCCCATGTGTGGGGGTGGTATGCATGCATTTGTGTATGTGTATGTATGATGATGATGAAGGTGGAGCTATGAGTTATCAGGAGAAATCTTGCCCTACAATAGCTACTCTAATCCACTGTGCACTTACTCAGTAAAATTGAATTCCTTGCCTATCCATTGCTTATTTTATTTACAAACTCCTCATTTGGGCAGTGAGGCTTTATGCTGTTTACATCTCAACAAGAATGTTAACACTAGTGTTAACTTCATTAGTAGTAGTTTTCCCATATGATACAATTTGTGGACTTCTTTTTTGAGCTTATGTTATTTACAGGATAAAAGAGCTATTAGAACATTGTGCTCTGTTATATTTTTTTTCAGTAATTAGTTGTTGGGCTTTTTTTTTTTTAGCAGACATATATCAATTGGTCATTGCAATTGAACTAAGGAATTTTTGTCTTTAAGTATATTTTAGGCATAACTTTCTAGGAAATTAAAATAAGAATGCATTAAAATCTTTGAGTTAGTATCACGCATCTAGAAAAAGTGTGTGCCCTCTAATCTTCTTCTTCGTTATATAAATAAATAGATACCAACTTCTTACTTGTAGACTTCTGATCAAGTGATTGACACCACACTGGAAGGTATGGTACTTTGCCTTTCCATAGTTAAAAACAGTAATTCAGTAAATTTTGTCTACCCAATCAGTTAATTTGAGCTAGTTCTATTTCTTATTGAAAAAGACTTCTTAGTAAATCTTATGATTATTAGAATGTTATCATATATTAAAGTATAGCAGAAAATACTTAAATACATAAGTACTTCAGGAAAAATTTTCTTCATATTGAAAACTGACATTCTGCTTAAAGAAGAGTCAGATCTTCAATTATTTGTGTGTAAAACAAGAAAACTCCACATTAAGGAGTTAGAAAGTGAGGGCTCTACAATCCTACAATGAGGTCTACAATCCTACAAGAAACTTCTTTTTCCTGGGAATACTTAAAGAGTAGATTTTATTCTTTAAATTTTATTATTTTACTTGCACAAGGAATAAGAATAGAAATTGAGACAAAATTGAGATAGGGACAAATTTCCACTTCAATTGGGAAAAAATATGGTAATGCTTAAATCTTCTCAAATGAAGTGAGGTGTTAACAATCTACATTTTGATATTGATATACAGTTTTATCTCACTGACTGATTTCTCACACTGTAACCCATCATGCATTGATGTAACAAAATCAGAGATGCTTCTCTTGCCTTGGTCAGACTACACTTGAACTCCCCTGATTGTAGTGACCGGAACTGACAGCGCACTGGAAAACGCAGATCAGCAAAAACATGTCGAGAGTCCTATATTCTCTAAGAAATGCAGCTCCAAATAATGTGCAAATAGTCTTTATTCTACTTTCAACCTTCCACCTAAAGCATCAATTTTATGAATGATACAGGCTCTCAGATCTACGTTAGTTCCCAGCATATTGATGATATCAGCTCCATGGGGCAAACTGGTTTCAATATAAATCCATGATGTTCCCCTTTCAAAGTGTCCTCATTCCTGATCAGCACCTCTACTTTGTTGTATTGGTTTTATCACTCTTCTGCTCCCCACACTCTTTCTGTTCCCCAGATTTCTCACAGACTTCACCTTCTTTTTCTTCACTTTCATGAAATGACATCACCTCAGTGTTTAAAAGCATTGAAGGCTTCTGATGAAAAGCCTCTTATCTTTACTATATTGAAAATACAAAACTTATCTATCCATGTTTTCCTCCTTTCATGGTATTACATATAATGGCTATTTTTTCTTGTTTGTGCTACAAATTTTTATGAGCTCAGTCCCAAGCTGTGTACACTGATGTTAGAGATTTTGGCTTCAAAAGAGAATCTAGGATCTTAAAGCCCCAAGTTAAGGTTAGACCCTTGAGGAAAAAAATGACTATTGTAATTGGCTTTTTAGAATTAATTTAAAAATACTCCAGGGAATGTACCTAAGGAATACATTATAAGTCTTCCTCCCTTGTTTTTACAAAATATGGTAAGTCAACTTTTATACGTACATCATTTTTTAAGTTTGTTCACCAAAAATATGTTTGCTTTTCAGTGTGGAGATTAGTACTCCATGAATGTAGAAAAATATTTTCAGTAATTGTACTAGATTTTTCTATTGATAATAATTGATAATAATATTTAACAGCATGCCTAAAAACCAATTATTATATGCAAGGTATTTTGGTGTGTATGTAAAAGTTAAATAAAAAATTGCTTTAGGGTGCAGTTCTTGAAGCACAATTTTTCTAGTCATATTTTCACAAAGATTTGATAGATAGTGGCTTCAGTTGGGAGCTAAGGTTAACCATGCTTTCCTAAACAAGTATTTTCATATGTGTGTTAGCTGTAAAAAAAAAAAATGAGTATGACCCCCTATATTCTTCTCCAGATGTTTGCATTCTTTATTTTCTGTTCAAATTCTACCTACTCAGAAAGACCTCTTCTGAGTGGCTATCTAACAGCTTCCCACTTTTATTTTTCCTCATAATACTTGCTTCTAACTGACATGTTATATATATTTTTTGTATGTATTGTACCTTCTCCTACAATATAGGGGAACCCCAATGAGAATGGGGTTTTGGTCACTGCTGTAACCCCAGAATTTAAATGAAAAAAAAATCAGTCTTTGTAGGGTACATGAATAAATAGGTGATTTTACAAAACAGAGAAAACAATTTTTTATGTTGTCTCTTCTTAGCCATACAAGGTGGGGTAAAGTAGGTTTACAGTTATTCATATGGAAAGTAATACAATAATTAATAAATAATGATACAAGAATAAACTCTGTTTTGTGTATACACAATTATAAACCTATTTTTGCCATACCCTGAATTTCAAGTGATAAATTTACTAATTCCATGTTTTCTGAAAAAAATTTAGTCAAAGAACTAAGAGTTTTGAGTAAAAATGCTGTACTGAATATTTATTTTCTATTTTGTGTTTGAAAATAGGATATCAGATCTCAAGAACGTTAAGATATCAGATCTCAAGAACCTTAGAAATCTAACTTCATTCATTTTTCTATTTGAATGATGTCAATGACCTGCTGTTTTTTATATCCTATTTTAATTCCTGTGTTTTTAGTCACAAAATTTAAAAACACAGTACTAAACATAGACTTCACCAAGAAGATGGATATAAATACATGTGTATATGTGTGTTTGAAAGAGAGTTTGAGATATAGAAAAACAGAAAACACACAGATACAGTCAAAACATATATGTAGAAAACCTGCTGTGTTATTGAAAAGAGAAGGGTAAGTTCCTCATAGATGAATCAATGAACGATTAAAAGACAAAATTGATGGGAATAAATGATACAATGGATAAAATAAATGCAAAATCTGGATCAGACAGAATTCTTCACTTTTTCTTGTCATTGTTTGTTTCCAAGGGATAAAATGTCTTCCAAAAGTACCACACTACTGTGACAGAATTCATTCTTCTGGGACTCACGGACGACCCAGTCCTGGAGAAGATCCTGTTTGGGGTGTTTCTGGCCATTTACCTCATCACGCTGGCAGGGAATCTGTGCCTGATCGTGCTGATCAGGACCAATTCCCACCTCCAAACGCCCATGCATTTCTTCCTTAGCCACCTCTCCTTTGTAGACATTTGCTATTCCTCCAACGTTACCCCAAACATGCTGTACAGTTTCCTCTCAGGCCAGAAGGCCATCTCCTATGCTGGATGCTTCTCGCAGTGTCTTCTCTTCATCGCCCTGGTGATCACTGAGTTTTACATCCTTGCTTCAATGGCATTGGACCGCTATGCAGCCACCTGCAGCCCTTTACATTATAGTACCAGAATGTCCAAGGACACTTGTATCTGTCTCGTCACGGTCACTTATGCTTTTGGCTTCCTTAACGGACTCTCTCAGACGCTGCTGACCTTTCACTTGTCCTTCTGTGGCTCCCCTGAAATCAACCATTTCTACTGTGCAGATCCCCCTCTTATAACGCTGGCGTGCTCGGACACCTATGTCAAAAGGCTGGCAATGCTGGTAGTTGCTGGATTTACTCTCCCAAGCTCTCTCTTCATCATTCTCCGGTCCTACGTTTTCATTCTAGTAGCCATCTTGAGGATGCGTTCTGCTGAAGGCAGGCGCAAAGCCTTCTCTACCTGTGGTTCTCACCTGACAACAGTCACTCTGTTTTATGGAACTCTCTTCTGCATGTACTTAAGGCCCCTATCTGAGAGGTCCATAGAGGAGTCTAAAATAATTGCAGACTTTTATACTTTTTTGAGCCCAATGCTGAATCCTTTGATCTACAGTCTAAGGAAAAAGCATGTGATCCATGACCTCAAGCAAATGATTAAGGAAATCTCTTCCTTAACAATACAGTATAGACATCAGTTAATTTGAAATTACTAGTGTTTGTGATAGAATAGTTATTAGAGCCTAGAAGTGACTAAGAGAGGGGTTTTAAATGTAATAGAGCTTTTGGTTATAATTTTTTTCTTTTATAATTTTTAATTGAATTTGTTGGTGTGTCATTGATTAATAAAATTATATAGGTTTCAGGTGTACAATTCTCTAGTATGTCATATGTATTATACTGTATTGTGTGTTCACCACCCAAAATCAAGTCTTATTCTGTCACTATTTATACCTTTTTTTACCTCCTTCTACTTCCTTTCTCTTTGGTAATCACCACACTGTTGTCTGTGTCTATGAGTTTTTTCCTTAATCTCTTTCCCCTTTTCACCCAGTTCCCCAACCCTCTTCAGCTATTCCACTTCTAGGGATATATCCAAAGAAACCAAAACACTGACTTGAAACAATACATGCACCCTTATGTTCATAGCAGCGTTATTTAAAACAGCCATGGTTTGGAAGCAACCCAGGTGCCCATTAGTGGATGAGTAGATGAAAAAACTGTGGTACATTTACAAAATGGAATACTACTCATTGCAAAAAAGAAACAATCTTACCTTTTACAACAGCATGAATGGACCTGGATAGCATTATGCTAAGTGAAATAAGCCAATCAGAGAAAGACAAGTACCATATGATTTCATGTACATGTGGATCTAATGAACAAAATAAACAAAATAGAAACAGACTCATAGATCCAATTTCTTAATTTTTTTTTATTTATTGATTTTAGGGAGAGAAGAAGAGAGGCAAAGAGAGATTGAAAAACATTGACTTGTTGTTCTATCTATCTATGCATTCATTCATCGACTGATTCTTGTATATGCCCTGCTGGAGGATCAAACCTGCAACCTTGGCATATCCGGATGATGCTGTAACCCACTGCACTGCCTGGTCAGGGCCTAGATCCAATATCTTTCTGAAGATCAGCATCATTTAATTTGCGGGACACTCCATTATTTTCTTATTTTTTTTAAAGAAAAGTTGTTTCCCTTACTCTCAGCTTAAAGAATATGCTAGTACCCAGATTTCTAATGTTATTTGAAAAATGAATTGTAGAATCATCATAAAAGTACTTTATGTTTTTTTTAGATGGTATGTTTCCTTTCATTTTCTAGTCTGGAGGATCACTGTGACTTTTAGAAACCAAACTTAAAAATTCAGTCTTAGCAGTTTTCTTAATCCAAATGATTGGTCTCTTTGAAGTCTTTTAAAAATATGCTATTTATTTACTTCTATTTGTTACTTATTTATTTTTTCATTAAGTTTTTCATTGAAAGCCACTTCAAAATTTCCTTAGAGATAGATAGGACATAAATTAACATGCATAAAAATGTGATACTCTATTTTAGTTTAATGCTCACTTTTATATTACTGCATTTTGTTCTCCACAAATGAACTAGCAGGAAGCTACCTTTGTTTATAACATTTGGAGTCGTAGGCACAGAGATAGTAAATGACCAACCCAAAGTCACTCAGGCACTGAGTAGCAAACAAGCAATAAATGTATATATCCTTTCTCTTTGCAGCTCACATTACAGTGATTTAACTCAACACACTGCAGATAGATGTTGGATGGCATGTCAGGGACAGGGAACTGGTGAGGTCATGCTATACGCAAAATCATGGTGATTGTGACGACAGTAGTACAACTAATAATCACTAGTATTTCAGGTAAGTCGGATGATTTGTATGCAATATAAGTAGAATTTTTACTGTTTCATGTGAAGCAGGCAATTTTGCTATATGGCAGACCTATTTAGACTGTATTTCATGAATATATTATGCAAATTTTAAAAGCACGCAAGTTTATTATAGATCATTAGAAAATACAGACAGAAAAGAAGCAGCAACATTTATCAGTGGATGCTATGTGTTTGCGTTTTATATTTTTTCTCAATAATTAAGAAAACAAAATTAGAATCATTTACCATATACAACAATGAACATTGATTTTTCACATCATAGTATAATGTTTGCACTTCAAACAGACTAAATATTTTGGTGAACACTATTAATGTAGCATAATACTTCACAATTCATATTGAATTTCATTATAAAATAATGCATGTTTATTATAGGGAAAACAAACTGAAAAATACTAAAAAATATAAGAAATGAAAGCGAAATTTACTTGTGATTTTCTAGTTAAAGAGAGTTTCTCTCAACATTTTGGTATAATTTTTCTAGTTGGTTTATTTCACAAGGTATTATTCCAACATATGGATGCATCCTATTATTTTTAAGACTGACTAGTATCTATGTACATATCTTTCTGGTAGTTCTTTTAGGATAGATTTCTAGAAGTATAATTGCTGAAATAAATGTTTTGTACATTTTCAAAGCTCTTGCTAAATTTTTCTATGGGTAAAATTTTCTCCAGAAACTTTCTAACAATTTATACCTATGATTAGTAATATTTGAGAATAACCATTTAACTGTACTATTGTTTAAAATTATTTGCTTCTTTGTTGTCTCAACTAAAATTCTTAGGAAATGATTTTGTTTTATTTTGACAGAAGGAATTTTGAAATGCATGTTTGACAAATAGAGAAAATAATCAGTTTTTTGACTACCTCCTATGTTATTTCTGATGAGTTCTCATATAAAATACTTATATTTTTTATTTAGAAAATTTATATCAATTTTTTTTGCTTTGTAGTTTTTCTTAATCCTCAGTTTAAGCTAGTATCTGTATTATGTTACTAATTTTTCAGGACAATGTTTTATTTGAATATCTCAAATTATTCTAGATACAATTTTGTTGTAATTTTGTTTTTAAATTTTTACCCCACATTATTAACCCACTACTTTCTACTATTTATTAAACAATCATTTATTTACCCACCAATTTATGTTATTTTTATTGTACACTAAAAAACATCTATTTCTGGCCCAACTCTTCCATTCTTTTAACTAATATATACACATATCTTTTAAATTATTACAAATAATATGGACTTAAAAAGTGTTAAATTTTATTAGCAAAATTCCATCTTCATTGTTTTTTTCTTTCAAATTTATCTCCTAGAATGCAAATCTGATGTTTCTAGGTATCTAATCTTTTTAACCCAGAAATTATGCATTTGAGGGTTTAATCTAGAAAGTATATGCACACATACATATGAAAATCAAATATGGTTATATATACAAAAATAGCCATTGTAAATTATTTGAAAATACAAATAAATATTTTAATTTTAGTAGTATAGTTATAGCTAGGTCCCCAGATTTGATGGAGAGAATGGATGGAGGCCATATTGAGGTCTGCTGAGGAATGAAAGTTTACAAGTGAATTAAGCTGTTGTTTTTTGTTGTTTTTTTTTTTTCAGAGAAGTAGATCAGTGTTTGTGGCTTATGGCTTATAACTAAAAAGAAAAACATGTAATCTTGGTGTCTTAATATTGTGTATTTTTTAACATTTTTACACAAACATTTGTTCTTGTACCATACCAGTGTCCACAACACATTATTATTCAACAAAGATATCTAAACACAGAATCTTATACCTAACGAGACCATCCTTTTCCAGCAACTGTCCCCCAGAAGAACCAACAAATCCACACATACTCGTCAACTTCGAGTTGAAATATAATGAAACAATTTATGTCATTTTGAATGAAAATAAATATTACACTTTTAAATAACCAGGAGCAAATATCTTTGAGCTTAGTTGCAGTGGAGAAATGTACAATTGAAGAGTCACTCAAGTTGACCATAAAACTACTTAAAACAAAGAGGCATATAATGTTTTAGAAAGTATTTGCTCTAGGTAAGGTAAAGCACTACATTTAGGAAGAAACAATAAGATCAATGAAATCACTGAAAGAACTAGGACACCATGATATAAATAAAGGTCAAAAGTTATGGATAGAAAATGGATAAAAATGCAAAAATGCTAAAATTAATTAGTCAAAATAATAGTAGCCAAGAATATGAAATAAGATACTCTTTTGTGTATTTACTTCCAAGAGAATTCAAAAAGACTGGCACTTTTTACATTAAGTGTATCAGAACAAACAATAATATACAGCTTTTCTGTGAATCAATTTAACATTATTCCCAGAAGTCTTAAGGAGTCTTAAAAGTGTTTGTATGCTTTTCCTCAGTTATTCAAATTTGAAGAATGTGCTGAAAGCATAAGAAGATACTTCAGAGGAGATCTTCATTACAGTGTTTGTTTTATAATTGAGAAGTAAGCAAGTGGTATATTAAATACAGGCAGCCCTCACTTGGCAAGATACCATGCTGCAGAGACTGGAAACATGTCCATGTTCAGTATGGGTCTCAGTTACCCCAGCACAGTGCAAAGTGAGGACAGCCTGCATTGAATAGCTGGCTGGACACAGGCAGATGGCAGAAAGAACAGAGGCTGGTTGTATGTAACTGGGTCCCTCGTAACAGTGTGTTGGCCAGGATCATAAAGAAGGCTGACTGTCACATGACAGACATTTGCATTTAAATTTATCCAGGCTTTAAAATGAAGAAGTTCCCAGTTAAGGCAAAGGCAAATCATTTTATATAGCTTTTTATGAAAAAAGAAATTTACAACAGTATGATAACTTTGTAAAATGTTAGGATTAAAGAAAAGTCATACCTGTTCTTTACATCTATGTACCAATTTTCTATGATAAACAATTATTAATTTTATGAGCAAGAAAATAAGCAAACAAAAACTGCATTTTTTAAAAGATTTTGTTTATTTTTTTATTTTTAGAGAGAGGAGAAGGGAGACAAGTATCTATGAGTTGCTTCTCACACACCCTCAGTTGGGGATCTGGCCCACAACCCACACATGTGTCCTGACTGGGGATTGAACAGGAGACTTTTCAGTTTGTAGGCTAATGCTCAACCCACTGAGCCGTATCAGCCAGAGGTGGGGGGGAATTGCTTATTTCTAAGATCATCCAGATTCCACCATTTAAAATTAAAAGATTTTATTTAATAATGTTAGAATTTAAATATGAAAGTGTGAATAAGTAACAGTTCAAAATTGTTCCATAGCAGTATTGAACTGGATGGTCATCCAGGCTCCTTCTCATTCAAGCTGCTATTATTTTTCCCCTTAAAAATATTGTGCTTCTGAACAAGTTGAGAATCTCCATTGGTACCTAAAGCTAGACTTACTTGTTTTTAGGAGTCGGGGTTGGGAACAGCTCCCACCCTAACTGGACTGGCACAGATAGAATTTGACTTGGCTCATGGGTGTCCCTAAGTAGGCTATGGAATCAGAATCCCTGGTTTTCAAAATGGATACTGCCATAGTCTCGTCATGACAAAAATGTTTGATCAGGGAATGGGGAGAATGCATGACTCTCTATTGACTGGTTCTACCGTTGTCAGGGAAGGCAAATCTTCATTCAATAGCAACTACTTCTGCACGGTCTGTTGTATGTTTATTCAGGTTCAGTGTTTTCCTCCTTGATTACTTAGTCTCCAACAACAATTAACCATGCCCTGTCATGTGGTGTTGTGTCCATCTCATCTCCTTTGATCCAAATCAACAACTATCTTTTTAAAGTTCATACAATTATAGTATATATTACATAATTACAAAGTGTTGTTTCTTCATCTAATATACCCTTTTATCTCACTAATCTCTTTCATACCAATTTATTTCATCTTTCACATATATTGCATATTCATATTTCAATTTATCTCATACCTTGATGTCACACTTTATATATAACCATGAGGGAGTCTTATCTGCTCTAATTTCAAATACTACCTATTGAATCTTAAAACAGCTTGTCAGCATTTTCTTTGCTACCCGTAAGGTCAACACAAAATTATATTTTACATAAGCTGCTACAATGAATTTCCCGTTTCCTCAATTGAAATCCTCTATCTTCCAACACAAGCCAATGATCTTTTATAAACATGATCATATCATGTTAGTGTCTTGGTAAAATAATCCAAAAATTTCCATCATACTTGTGAAAAAATTTAAACTTTTTACCGGAGTCTACAATTTTCTATCTCCCGTCTCCAAAGCCTTTAATCATTCTTTGGTCCTTCTTCTGTCATATTGACCTTGTAGATGTTTTCCGAACTTCTGAGCATGTCTTTTCCTCAGGGCCTTTGCACATACTGTTCCTCTGCTTAGAATGCTCTTTCCCAAGATCTGTAAATGTCCTATTTCATGACTGCATTTAGATCTTTCTTCTAATAACACCTCCCTTGAAAGACATTGCCTTACTTCTTGCCTAAATTAGTTCCATTCCAAATAACCTTTCATCATGAACCACAACCTATTTTCCTAATATCTTTATTAATTTTGAAATTACTCTTTACTTATGTGTTTCTATGTATATTTCTGCTGCTAGTTCTGTGTTGGCCCAGCAGTGGCTATTGTCACCAGAGCCCGGTGAGAGCCAGAACCAGGAAGGAAGTGCTTGGCTACCTTCTTCCCCAAAACAGTATCAGCACAATTTTGTTGGAAGGACTCAGGCACTCTAACACTTTTGTTGTGAAGCTGGAAGGAAACTAAGCTACTATTCTCCCCCTTCCACCACTGACATTCTACTCATTTCTCTTATTGTCCAAATTCAGCTGGATGGTAATTACCAAAGGAGTTCTATTAATGTGATCTACAAGGTTTAAATTCCAGGTGGCCAAAGCAAAGTAGAGAAGAAAAGATACATAGGGTGACAAAGAAAGAATCACCAGCACAACTATATTATCTATATATCCACAATGTTCCTGGTGCTATTTATTATTGTTTTCATTAAAAATGCAAATTACAAGGCTCAGCATCAGTAAATGACAAGGTATATGAAACTTAATTAATCTCTCAATGGTTTTCCAGACTCCAAAACTTTCCCACTATACCTTGCACTATTTTATATCACATGTTATAAATAAAAGAAATTAATATTTCTCCCAAGTCAAAAAATATTAAGACACTCAGGCATAAGTTAAAATAAATAATGAATCCTATTACTTCATGTTTTGGGGGAGACATGCTTCTCTGATAATATCGGAGAGTAGGAAAAAATTATGTCCTCAATGAGCTTAGAATGTGCAAACGAATACAACCATAGTGGTTATTTATAGTCTTAATGACTTTATGCTAGAAATAATTGAACCATAGGGATTTGGTCTCTATATAACAATTCTGTTGTAAACACTTCAGATTCTTTATATCCATGGTGTCACTGGGAAATTACCCTTTTTTCCACAGGTAAGATTAGCTATTGTAAAATATATTTTGGAATTTGACATAGTTTATTCAATAAAATAAAATTACAAGTGAAATATATTCTGGTGAATTAGTAATTGTCTTGAATTAAATTCTACTATATCATAATATTTTCAGAATAAATGTACTTAAAATGTATTTAAAATGTACAATGGAATTCCATTTACAATGAGAAGAGAACTACACTAAAGAGCAGTCTTTCCATCAATAACCATCAATTGCCTCTACCTGGGAGAGCCCTGGTCTGGGTGCCACTAAGGCTATAGCTACAGGTTAGATACACTCCTTCCTAAGGAGCTCACACTTTGATGTTGACTCATGTTTTAGACTAGGGATGGATTTTTCACTAAAAAATATAGAAGCTACAACTTATTAGGTGCTTACATGTCAGAGATATTTTTAAAGTTTTTACCTTGATTTGCTCTCTGACATGAAGGAGGTTGCTATTAGGAACCAAATATTATACATGAGAAATTGTAGGCAAAGAGGGATGAATGACTTATCCAAGCTTCACTAGGAATTAGAGGAAAATGGACATTCATTGCAGGGTGAGGAAACAACTTGAAAACAAACCAGTTTAGACGGCAGGTAGACAGATTCTAATCCTACAGAAGCATGTGCCATATATCAGTTCCACAGCTCTAAGTCTATTTAGCTGTGAAAAACGGATGACTTTCAATAATGATGCTTTAGATGCTACAAAAAATATTATACTGAAAATGGGATTATAATTTTAAAGAAAAGCATGCTTAAAGGTACTGTAAAAAGACTGAGAGAACAAATGTGATAGAGTTGCAGAAAAGATATAGTATTTTCAATTACAAATATTTTGCAGAAAAGCATTAAAAATATCATTGCCTTTATGTAAAGATGCTCTAAATTATTTTAGATATTTAAAATTTCAATTACATGCATACCAGGCTACTCCTTTATGCCACATGTACTTACAAGTTTGAGAGAAGTGGAAGGAGTGTCAGATGAGATGATGGGGATAATGGATGAATGACAAAAGGCATGAAGCTCTGTTCCCTTGGTTTAGACCTCCTTTGCAGCCAAGCCAACACAATGTCAAAGAAGAACTACACAGGGGTGACTGAGTTCATTCTCCTGGGCCTGACAGACAGAGCAGAGCTGCAGCCTGTCCTTTTTGTGGTGTTCCTGGCCGTCTACCTGACCACAGTGGTTGGCAACGTGAGCATGATCTTGTTAATCAGGAGTGACTCCAGACTTTACACTCCAATGTACTTCTTCCTCAGCCACCTCTCCTTCCTAGATCTCTGCTATGCCACCAATGTCACTCCTCAGATGCTGGTTAATTTCTTATCCAAGAGAAAAACCATTTCCGTCATTGGCTGCTTCATACAATTCCACTTTTTCATTGCGTTGGTGATCACCGATTATTATATGCTCACGGTGATGGCTTTTGACCGCTACATGGCCATCTGCAAACCCTTGTTATATGGTAGCAAAATGTCCAGAAGCGTCTGCATCTCCCTCGTTGTGATTCCTTATACTTACGGCTTCGCAAATGGCCTGGTCCAGACCATCCTGATGCTTCGCCTGTCCTTCTGCGGACCCAATGAAATCAACCACTTCTACTGTGCGGACCCACCTCTGTTAGTCCTCGCCTGCTCAGATACTTCTGTCAAAGAAATGGCCATGTTCGTGGCGGCTGGTTCCAACCTCACCTGCTCTCTCACCCTGATTCTCATCTCCTACATTTTCATTTTCACAGCCATCTTGCGTATTCGCTCTGCTGAGGGGAGGCGCAAGGCTTTCTCCACCTGCGGGTCCCACCTCACAGCTGTCACTGTCTTTTATGGGACTTTGTTCTGCATGTACCTGAGGCCTCCTTCAGAGACATCTGTAGAGCAGGGTAAAATTGTGGCTGTGTTTTATATCTTTGTGAGTCCTATGTTAAATCCTGTGATCTATAGCCTAAGGAACAAAGATGTTAAAGAAGCAATCAGGAAAGTTATCCAAAAGAAATTGTTTGCTAAATAAAGTAAGCATTCTGGTCATAGGTGTGCAATATATCCTTACTGTCTGACCAACTAATGAGTGCTTTCAATGAACTAATCAATTTCTGTCAGCCAATGTGTTTTTTTTTTTTTATATAATTAGCAGATGGAATTTGGAAGAATGTGTCAAATTATTTGCTAGCATGTATAGTACCATGTCAGTGAAAAATTAAAAAATTGTACCTAGAAAATCAAAGGCAATACCAGAAGGCATTGTTATTGTTCTTTAAAGTCAATAAAGAACAGATAATACCATCCATGATACTCTTATTGGTACAAAGTTATAGAAGACAGAACTACCAAATAATGCTAAGGCAATGACCTGTGGTTATATTTTCTATATGGTTAGTAATTTTGAAATTATTCTCCAGAAACTTCTTAACCGTGACAGATGAGTTTTGTTTTCTTCTTCCCTTTATACAAATTATACTTCAAATAAGATCTCTGGGTATATCAGATTTTTCACTCTAAGATGAAAATGCCCTATTTTCTTTAGAAGGGTTTTTTTTTTAAACCAAAATATATCCCCATCACAAAATTGGTTTTGCATTTTTATTTTTAATTTTTTATTATGTACTACTTTGAACATACAGTCAAAACTAAAAAAAATAGAAAGACCTCCTGTGTAAAAAACTTACTGATCATTATTAAGTCTTCACACAATGCCACTTTTGTTTCAAATTTATCAGAGACTCAGATGTTTCTAAAATCAAGTCTTTCTTGCCTGATTCTCCTCCCGTCTTGCATTAAACTTTAACATGAAGTTAATGTTTCTTATTCTTATGTCAAGTTTTGTCATTTGTTAATGTTTCTCAATCCACAGAATCATATTTCTTTTTAGATGTAGAACTTGATATAAATAAAATCACTCCATATATTCTTGTGCAGTTTATTTTAGTTTCACTACTCATTGTTGGACTGACCCTTGCCTGATCATGCATCGAACTTATTTGTGCTGACTCAGCATTTTCAACGATATTTCAAAAAGTAGGTTTGCAGCTGTGAGTACCTGAAACACAGAGTTGATAAAGCTGCTATAATAATCATAACCACTTGTTTTTTTTTAATATGAACTGTAAACCTAATTTTGCTCCACCCTGTAGTCTATGTCAATATATAAGTGTGCCACAATATATTTATCTATTCTATGATTTTGGAACAGTTACATTTTACCAGTTCATGATATGAATAACCAGCAATACATATTCATGTGAAATTCTGAATGTATTCCAGTTCAAGAGTTTCTCTTATGTATGTACCTAAGATAATTTCTAAGTCAAGAGACATGAGCATTTATGAGATGCAGCCAGATTACTTTATCAATTTACACTCCTGCAAATAATGTATGTAGTAATACAGTGCCCTTTACTCCACATTCTTGTCAACACAATTTATTGTCAAACTTTTAAAATATCTTTCAATTTGATGGTGAAAAATGTATTATTATTTTTTAAGTTTTTGAATCATAATTATAGGGGAAGTTAAGTATTTTTAACTGTGTGATGCTAATTGAAGATTGTTTCTTTTTTCAGTTGTATGTTCATACTCTGTTCACTTTTCAGCTGTGCTTTTTCATATTTATTTTCTACGTGTGTAATTACTCCTTATGTCTTCGGTGCTAGGTCCTAATCTTTTAATTATCTATGCAATGCAAATATCTTCAACCTGTTTATAGTTTGAATTGTATTTTTATGCATGATATATTTGGTGGTGCAAAAATTTTTTATTTAATTGTACATATTTTAGATTTATTAATCTTCTTTTTACGATTGTGTTTTGAAAGTCTGCTCTAAATAATTCTTTCCCGTTATAAAGATATTCTCATATCTCTTCCTTATTTTTTTAAAGTTTTGCTTTTGCATACTTAAGTCTTTATTTTTCCTGCTGTCATAAATATTCCAAAATCGACTCTAATCCTATTTTTAATAAAAACAATTCATTTTCAGTTTTTTGAATACTCACACTTTTCTCATTAAATTTTTAGTGCAAACTCTGTTGTGTTTCGAGTTTTCATATGTGTATCAGTCTGTTTCTGGGCTCTTGTGGTTAAGAATAATTATATGTTATCAATAACTATTATTAATATATTCAACAAATGTTTATGAAGTACTTAATATTCTGGTTAAAGGAGATATATTCGTCACTGTCTTTCTAAGTTCTTTTTACTAAAGCAAGTTTTAGTGACATTTTAAAATCAGGCAAGGCTTGGGCAGGTTTAAAACATTAAAGTACGAGAGGAAGGGCAAACAATTAGAGTAACTTGAGAGAAAGGAAGAGGGGATTCGGCGCTAGTTGTGACATGCAGGAGAGTTAAAAAGCCATATAAATTGTAATGCTTCTAAGTCAGCACAATTTATGACTAACTGCTAACTATGCAGAACTTACTTCTTTTCTTTATCAACACATTATGTCATTGCTGTAGACCATCCTCAAAATACTGTGTAAGAATTCATTTGATTTGACAATTCATTGTTTACTTATTTACCATTTGTTTAATGGACACTATGATAGTGTCTTTCTCAATTGTAATTCTGGGAACGTCTGCATTAGAATCTTCTGGATAATTGTTAAATATGAAGACTCTAGTATCTCACATCAGACTTTTTGAAGCAAACTTTCTGTAATTTGCTGATGAACAAGATTTTCAAGGAGTTTCTTAAAATGCACTTAAATCTCCTGAGGATATGACGTCAGAGGGACTATAGTCAATAATATTACAGTTACTATGTATGATGCCAGGTGGGCACTGAAGATGTCAGGGGGAGGGTTTTGTAAAGTATGAGATTATCTAAACACTATACTGTTTACCTGGAACCGATACAAAATAATATTGAAAGTAAACTGTAACTGAAAAAAAAAATCTTTTCTATAAAAATTTAGATTTTGTTGTGGCCACTTTTTATTTTCTTTTCTAATTTTCAAAAATGAATGTTTGGATTATTGATTTGAGTATTGCTTTATTTCTCAATATATTTTATACATTTCAGTTTAATACTGCTTTACCCAAAGGCCATTAATTTTGATATTTTTTATCATTTAGTTTGCAATATTTTCTTATTTCTCCAGTGACTTTTTAACCTATGTGTTAGTTAGAAAATAGTGCTTATTTACTATATATTTGGGATTTTAAAAGATATTTTATTGTTATACCTTTGTAATTTAGTTTAATTGGCAGAGGACAGTAGCCTTATGACTTATTCTTGGAATTTTATTGGCTAGTATTTTTCCAGGTTTGTTGAAATATAATTGACTTATAATAAGGTGTAAGCTTAAACCGCGCAAGTGATCATTTGATACATGTATTATGTTGTGAAATAATTATCACAATTATGCCAGTTAACACATTTATCACTTCACATAATTGTGTTGGATTGTGTTTCTTATCAACCATCACTTGTAAATAACTTTCTTCTTTATTGTTTCCACAAGATTCTTACTTGATCCTAACTTATGCATACATAAACAAATATTACTGTAAATCACCACACTGTTGTCTATGACTATGAGGGTTTTTCTGCTTAATCCCTTTACCTTTTTTTACCCAGACCACTAACCCCCCTTTCCCTTTAACAGCTGTCAGTCTGTTTCCTGTATCTATGAGTCTGTTTCTATTCTGTTTGTTTATTTTGTTCACTACAATTCAGATATAAGTGAAATCATATGGTATTTGTCTTTCACTGACTAGCTTATTTCACTTAGTATAATACTCTCCAGGTTCATCCATGATGTCACAAATAGTAAGATTTCCATCTTTTTCATGGCCAAGTAGCATTCCATCGTGTAAGCATACCACCACTTTGTTATCCAGTCATCTACTGGGCACTTGGGCTGTTTGCCAATCTTGCCTATTGTAAATAATGCTCCAATGAATGTAGCAGTAAACATATTATTTTGAATAAGTGTGTTGATTTTTTTCAGATATCTTCCCAGAAGTGAAATCACAGGTGGGGGGAGGTAAAAGTGTAAAGCAGGGATAAAAGGTGATGGAGACAGACTTGTCTTTAGGTGGTAAACACACAATACAATATACAGATAAAGTATTATGAAACTGTGCACTTGATACTTATGTAATTTTATCAACCAGTATCACCCCAATAAATTCAATAAAAATCAAAACAAATATTACTGTTATTTCAGAGAATTACATTAGGCACAACCAACAAAGAGTATAATTTTACTTTTTTAAGATTCTTTCCTTCCATTAGGAAACTGTTGAAATAGAACTTTTCTTTATTGCACCAAGGTTTCTCATAAACACTCTTCTTAAAGCCTGTTTCACAACCTTCTTCCTCAGAGTGTATTTGAATGGATTCGACATGAACTCACAAAACAAACAAACAAACAAAAAGCTCAAACAGAAAAAGTGACCCACTGCCACAGTTTTCCCTTGCTCAACAGACTACTCATTTGCTGGTCTGAGGTACATTCAAACAAGGACCCGTAGGACACAGTGACAGCTGTTGGCGGGGGACCACAGATGGACAAGGCTTTGGGCTGTCCTCACTGGAATGGGGCTTCATAATGTTGATGAAAACGAAAAGGTAGGAGATGAGGATGATAAGGGAACCTACACATCATCTCCACCCCCTCCCCCCAGCTGTCATCCTGGTCTCCATCTATGAGTCTGTCCCCATTCTCCTTGTTAGTTCAGTCTGTTCATTAGATTCCACATGTGAGTGAAATCATAGGGCGTTTGTTTTTCTCTGACTGGTTTATTTCACTTGGCATCATGTTCTCCAGGTCCATCTATACTGCTGCAAAGGGTAAAAGTATCTTCTTTTTTACGGCTGATTAGTATTCCATTGTGTAGATGTCCCATCGTTGCTTTATCCACTCATCTATGGATGGACACTTAGGCTGCTTCCACATCTTGACAATTGTAAATTACACTGCAATGAACATAAGGGTGTTTATGTTCTTTTGAATTAGTGTTTTGGGTTCCTTCTAATATGAACCCAAAAGAAGTGGGATCACTGGGTCAAA